CCTCCCCTCCCCCTTTGGATATGTTATAGTACTTTGGACTATCCAAACAGCACAAATTTCCTTCCTAGGGGGAGTGTGGAGTGATTATACTGTATTATATGCATCTGATCCTATTTAACTGTTACGTGAATTTCATGTTTGTAGAGAAATGTACAGTTCCTTCAACACGAACTTGTTATTCGATGTGCCAGACGCTTGGTTGCATTTCATTCACTGCCATACATCGTTGCTGTCAATCCAGATATCTCTGACACTGTAAGTGGTAAATATATAGATCCCTCACGCTGGCACATTTTGTTTTTGTGGAGGTAGACGCAAATTAATATGAACACAATTTGGAAAAATCATTTGAATCTTGGCAATGAATTTCCGAACCCCACAGTGAAAACTTGAGGTTACGTTTTGTACATTAATCTATCCCTGATTCTCCATTTAGCATATGAGCCTCTAGTCCTGGACTAGGCTACATTTTGGTTTACATTGGACAAAGTTACAGTTAGGTTGGACACCAATTCACTCAGGTCAAAAACACTATAAATCTCAGTTTCACTTACTTTGGTCAGACAGAATGTCTGGTGATCTCTTCTCAATGTCGGACAATTTCACAAATGGGGCGGACAATGTCAGTGACCTGTCTGATATTTTAAGGCCTGGGACTGAACTAAATTCAGACAGGGTGAAAATACCAATCAAATTGAAAATATCCACTGCAGATGAACTAACAAATCATTCGCTGTATTCAACTCAGATACAGTAGTTTGTAAAACCATTCTCTTTGTTTTAGTACGAGTTATACATCCGTGCATTTGACCATCTTTCAAGACAACCAAAGGTAAAGTGGTATACCACAAAAAGACAGAGATTGCACGATTTCCCAAATTGCCACTCACATTGTTAAAATGTTTTTAGATAAAAGATTTAGAGTCGGAAAGAAAGTACAGTAAAATGGTGAAAACATTGCTGAATGACCATCGCCACGTTGTTACATCCTTAGCTCGTGGGTTTAAGGAATGCAAACATCAAGTGGCTGTGAGTAAATGCTTATCCATGGGATAGGGGTTTTTTCAAGGGTTGACTGTTGACTGCTATAACCCAGATTAAAGTATATACTGTAGTATATAAAAATTAAAGTTTTATGATAGTGATATCTGGCTTCTTCTGCAGTTATTGACTGACATGGCTTGAGGTTGGCCATCATTGTCACTGACACTCAGTCTGTCTGAAATTTGCAGTATCCCAATATCCACGGGATACCAAAAATTTGGTTTTGGACACCTAACTGTGAATAACTTGTATCCCGACTGCAGGGCTCCAAATGAGCCCTGTTAAGACTGGAATTTGGAAACCCAACTTTCAGACGATTTTAAAAGTAGGCAATTTTTTTATTAAATTTTCTAAAGTAGGTAAACAGCCATGTATGAACTAGGCTAATAAATGAGATTGGATTTAACTTGGAATAGTTGGGATAAACTGTAAAATGGGCATTCACAGAGTGTCAGTAAGTCACTTTATAGCATCTTGGCCCCCGCCAGACAGTGGTAAATTGTTTTGACCTCAAAAGGTCAAAGCACTATATCACATTTCGTTGTTATTACTCTGTAATGTTATCGTCTGTCAATCCATTCACCTACTACGTCTACAATGACATCATAGCCTACTTTCTTTCGGGTAAGAAAGCTGGAAACTACCTACTTTTTGTAAAGTAGGTAGTTCTCAGGCACCTGCGCACTATAAAGTAGGTAGTTTTTAGGCTTCTGCGCCACAAAAAGTAGGTAGTTATCAGTCTTCATTTAATCTTTAACTCTTCTGCCATCGTAAGAACCCACATTGTAAGCATGCCTTACATTCCAAATGTCCAGCGACAACAATTAAGTATAAATAATATAGTTTCATCACGTCTCTTGCTGCTGCGTAACGCCACAAAGATAAATAGCGAGTTAGCTAACGAGAAGAGTTACCATCAAGCGTCAAGCCATGACTTATGAGCTTGTTCTGTGCGCAGAATGATGCGATGACGCGTAAAATGTTAATATCTGCAGTATAAATATGTTACTACACTCAAAATTATTTGGTATCCTATATATTAGGCAGCAAAGAACTCGTGTGTCATACTGTAAATTCATGTTTTACTGTCGTAGAAAATAAGAGTAAATTACGTTTTAATTTAATTTTTTGTCTCGTTCGAGAATTTCTACTACTGCATCAAGCTTCATTGCGTCATTTCAAAGTGCGCTGTGTGTCATACTGGGCGTATTGCTGAGTAACTACATAACGTCATTTTCTATAAAGGAAAAGATGACGACTCAACCGCCGTTAAATATGATGTCATTGTAGTAAATAGCGGCTATAAAAACGATAAGAATTACAAGTTTACTCATTCTTATGTGTGCAAGTGAGAAAAAAAGTATAAAAGAAGATTTTAATTTAAAAGTCATACTTAGAGCAAGGAACTACCGATCTAACATCAGAAGATGTCCTCTAATGAATTGTAGGACATCTATAGTAGGCTATCAGATCCAAAACTAGGTTGTCACCCGGGAACCCCAGGCACAAGAAAAAGTCCCTTTGGAGCCCTGCCGACTGGATACTAAGAAATGTTGAATGATTAATAAGTGCATTTTATTGTATTGTAATGAATTGTGCTTTACAGTCAACTCGGCCCACTAACCAACTCAGCCCACCGTTCAAGGACCAACTCCGCCCGCTCATAAACTGACTAATCTAACCATTAAACAAGCTAGGAGCCATGACTGCATTCTATCTTTGCAAATTTTGAGAGAGATTTGAATGATCAGTAATTTAGTATCAAAACGGACAGATCGAGAATTTGAAACTTCGATAGATTCTTTAATTAAATTAAATTAAGTCAAGCTGGCTGTATTGGTTTGGTGCTATCTTTTGTAAAATATCAGCTTTCCCAATATGTCAAACAGTTAACAATTGGGCCAAGATGGTATGGGCCGAGTTCGTCAGTGGGCTGAGTTGACCAGCTTCCATGAATTGTTTAGTCGTTGACTGTTGAGTCTCCTGTTGTTATTGTAACTTGTAACAGTGAGAGTTATGGAATAAGTGGAAACTTATTTGGATGGGACGGGGTATACTACTTGTGACGAAACAC